GCCCTCCTAACCGATCCATATCCAATGCCCAATTCCGTTCTCTCCTCGACTCCTTAGGACATCACTTCATCTTGGGTGCAGACCTAAATGCCAAACATCAACAATGGGGTTCCAGAACCACGAATACTCGTGGCCGAACCCTGCTGTCTGCACTCAATTCCCAACATTTTCACCTCCTTTCCCCCAACTCTCCTACCTACTGGCCTACAGATCCCAACCGTAATCCTAATCTTCTTGATTTCTTTATCCACAGCGGCTTAAGTCCCCTCAATTGTTCCATTACACGTCTAAATGAACTTTCCTCTGACCATAGTCCTCTAATCCTTAATGTTTCACTTGAACCTGTTCCCAAACCTTCTCCACCGTCATTTATTAGGGGCCCAGTTAACTGGGACCTTTTCCGCCAAATCATCTCCGATAAAATTGATCTTAACATATCCCTCAAAACTCCCGATGACCTTGATAGTGCCGTAAATTCCTTTACTACCACAATCCAACAAGCCGCCTGGACTGCTTCCTTCCCAAAAGACTCCTCCAGAATTCCTAAAAAGACCATTCTACCCCAACACCTCCTTGACCTAATCCAAACCAAACGCCGTGCCAGATTATTGTGGCAACGTACCCGACATCCTACCGACCGCTGCTCCTATAATTATTACTGCTAAAAATTAAAACTGGAATTAGCCACCTTCAGATCACATTCCTTCAACTCCTACCTATCCTCCCTTTCTTCTCGTGACAATTCCCTTTGGAAAACCACTACCAAAATCTTAAATCCTCACCGCATTTCCCATCCCCTCCGACGAGATGATGGCTCCTGGGCAGCATCTGACGAAGATAAGGCTGAGGAGTTCGCCATTCACCTATCCAATACATTTATTTCACATCCGGAATCCCATCCTGCCCACACCGTAACAGTAGAAGAACTCCTTACATCACCAATCCCACTTTCCTTGCCCCCAAAAGCTATTCATCCTTCCGAAGTGAAATTTCAATTAAAAAAAATAATCCCCCGTAAAGCTCCTGGACATGATCTCCTTACCCCTCAAATCCTTCGACAACTTCCATCCAAAGCAGTCATATTCCTTACATATATCTACAATTGTATCCTACGCACCACCCACTTTCCTCTGCTATGGAAACACTCCACTATTATCCTTTTCCAAAAACCAGGCAAACCTCCCAATATCTCAACATCCTATAGACCAATTAGCCTACTCCCAATGCTTTCAAAAATTTTTGAAAAGATCCTTTTGAAACGAATCCTACCCATTATAAAATCCCAAAATATTCCTTCCCATCAGTTTGGTTTTCGCTCCCAACATTCTACTGTTCAACAAGGACTCCGAGTTGTTGATCATATTTCCTCAGCCTTAGAAAACAAGGAATACTGTTCGGGTGCATTTCTGGACATTGCACAGGCATTTGACCGGGTATGGCACTCCGGACTGCTCTTCAAGCTTAAAATCAATTTACCTCAGTCCTTGTACCTAGTCCTCCGATCCTACCTCTCTGACCGCTCCTTCGGAGTTCGCTGTGGAACAGAATTTTCCAATATCTACTCCGTTAAAGCCGGTGTTCCCCAAGGCAGCGTCTTGGGTCCCGTGCTTTACATCCTCTTTACTGCTGACATCCCTGTTCATCCCGATACTTTTCTTGCAACATTCGCTGACGACACCGCAATCTTATCATCCAACTCTGATCCCAACATAGCATCCTTAAATCTCCAAAACCACCTCACCTTGATTGAGCACTGGTGTAATAACTGGCGCATTAAAGTTAATGAATCTAAATGCCAACATATTACCTTTACACTCCGACGCAGTTCCTGTCCACCAGTACACTTTAATTCCATCCAGCTTCCTTACTCAGACACAGTCCGGTATCTTGGCTTTCATTTAGACCCAAGACTAACGTGGAACCCACATACTAGACTCAAAAGACAAGAACTCAACCGACGATACGGCCAGCTATACAGACTACTAAACAGAAAATCCAAACTTTCCATTGAAAACAAATTACTTATCTACAAGACAATACTGAAACCTATATGGACATACGGACTTGAACTGTGGGGGACAGCAAAAGCTTCTAACATCAAACGTATTCAATCCTTTCAATCTAAAGTCCTTCGAACAATAGTTGATGCTCCGTTCTATGTAAATAACAAAATCCTACACCATGACCTTAATATCCCATTTGTCCTAGACCTTATTCCAGAAAAATTCTCCAAATTTCACCAAAACCTTACCTATCATCCAAATCCCCTTGCACAATCTCTATCCAGCACCACCCATCCTTACAATCCTCCTCGAAGGTTGAAGCGGCAGTGGCCCAGAGACCTTTTGTAAATAAGCATCTATTGGAGTTTTGGCAATGGCCAGATCCTCCACTCAAGCCCGAGTGTGTATGATTAGGTTAGTTCTTTTGTTTATATTCATTTATTTTATTTTATTGTATTTATTTTTATTTTATTTTATTGTATTTATTATTATTAAGTTTCTGTATTATTTTTTTTTTTTTTATTGTAAATAGAGTGTGAGTGTGCTTTCTCTGATCACTATTATAAATGTCCTTGATGTGACAGAATGTAATATTTCTAAATAAACAAATATAATGTTAGATTAAAAAAAAAAAAAAAAATTGTATACACAGCTCTGGCTTTGTATTTAATTTTGAGAGTTCTCTATCTCTAATCTGATTAATATCATCACTTTTGAATTTATCACGCAGTGTCCATATCTCAGTAAAGTTGCAACTCAACCATCAAAAAAGTAAATCAGAAACATTCCTATAAGTACTGGATTTGTATTTCTTAAAAAAATTGGAAAAAAATGGAAGCTTTAAAAGTTAAATCATAAGGCAAAAAACTTTCATATGACTCTTAAAGGATATTCTAAAAAAAAACAAGAGAACGGTAAATAACACCCAGCTTATATTAGATGTCTGATCCAAAGTCCACTCGAACCAGTTTTAAATTTCTTACTAACAAAAAGTCGTTGATGATTCTAGGGTTTCTCGTGTTAAAACCAAAACAGAATACTATTTGTTCGAATTTACAAAGATCCTCTTTAACTCAAAAAAATAAAATAAAAATAACAATTTAGTTATAAATAATAAAAAAATTATTTCAAATTCTTAATGATGAAATATGTAACTCCAGTACCATATATTCGTCCATTCCATGTCATCCCTCATTTATTCAATATTATAGGGGAAAAGGGGCGATGGGTACTACTTCCTCTTGCCTGAAGTAACCAAAAGCGTATTCAACAACACATCCGATTGTCACATCCATGACTAGTGTTGTCCAAATCCGGTCTTGGTTTTGCACTTTGAGAGAACAAAAACAAGCTCGCCTAACTGTTGCTAGACCAAGACCAAGGCCGGTAAAAAATAACAGATTTTTTAAATTAAAAAGAGGCAAAATAGTTAATAATACTTGACAATTGTATTTACTATATGTAAAGAATTGCTATAACCAATATATTTTTCGATATAACTCTTCTACTTTTATAGTTTGGTTAGATGGGCTTAGTTAGGTTTTTTTTCTATCTGTAAAAATTACAGTAATATCTCTATATTAATAAGCTGAAAGTTAACTGCAAGACTGTTGTGCAAGATTAAGACCAAGACTAAGACTCGTCTTGGTCTCGCATTTGGACAACACTATCCATGACTGGTGCGAATGAAGACTTGAAAAAAAGAAACAAAAAGATGATATGTTCTAGAGCTTTACAGACTGTAAAGGGGTCAAAATAATTCCTTTAAATTTTGATCGATTGGAAAGAGAATAAATTCGGATTGCTACATAAGCTAATAATATACTCTTGAACGGTCATTAATGCCTACAGATTGTATTAGATGTAGTTACTGCAACAGAGCTTAATTGTTATAGTTGGATAGTTCATAAAATGTTGGTTGATCTAAACTTACATTAAGATGACAAAAAAGCGCTCAAACAATTTAATATCCTTCCTCAGCTTCATCATCACAACACATCTGCTGATTGTCAATACCATAGCAGGTGCGGATAGATAGTAAAAAAGAAAAAAAAAAAAAATATATATATATATATATATATATATATATATATATATTTCCTAGGTACGTTCCTCTACCAAATCATCAACAACCATCGTCTTTCTTACGCCTACAACCTTCTCCAGATCAAATCCTCAATCCATTCCCTGTCCACAAGATCTCGACCTTCTAACCTTTACACGCCTTCTCACAGATCTGCTTCATTCCAAAACTCCTTTATTGCTCGTTCTGTCAATTTCTGGAATTCCCTCTCTATCAAAATTCGGCATTCACCTATCCATATCTGCATTCAAAACCCTCCTATTCCAATTCCTATCCCAAAGACTGTCAGATATTTGCTAACCATTCGACAACATAAATTTATTTCATGCCACTCATGAAATAAATGTATGTGTTGTCAAATATCAATGCTAAATGATAATGTATTTATATATTAATCAGGCGCTTAATATTGGCAAATTCAGCTTACTGTTTTCTCAACAGAAACACAAAGTTTATTTTAATAAAGAATGTAATATTTTTTTTTAAAATTCTTTATTGTTTTCATAAAAGTGTATACTGGTCTATCAGTACAAATAGCTTTCAGTATCATGTCATAGTGTTAATTGTTTTGTATATAGTTTCGTTTGTTTTGTATATAGAATGTTTACCTTATATTTTCTTTACATTATTTCTTTTTTTTCCATTGATTTTATTTTGGCCAGATGTAATCTTTTAATTTTGTTCTATTTTGTTATTCTCAAGTGACTGTGTCCCAGAATAAAGTTATTTTCTATCTATCTATCTATATATTAACCCAATTTCTATGATAAAAATAAATTACATTAAACTATTTTTTCCCCGTTCAGTTGGGTTGTATTATTGCATTATTTGTATAAAGTTCCTCTCTCATCACAGTACTTTTAACACTAACAACCCATGCTCTTCCATCCAATATAATATATGATCTGCTTCAGGTGAGAACAACAGCGGAATCAACTTCAACGAGAGGTTCACGTGGCGAGGGTCAGGTGAGATGGGCGCCAGCTACAGGGCAGGCTTGGAGCGAGGGCTGCCCTTCCCAATACTCACCGTGGCGGAGTACTTCACCCTCGGCCAGGAGGGCTTCACCTGGGGTGGCAACTACAGGCATGCCGGTTACTATGCCTCCGTTTTCCTTTGGTAAGCAAGTGTGTTATGATTAATTCATTTATAGTATATACCGAAATATTAATTTCGTATTAAAATTAAAAGTATTTATTTTAATATTAAAGACAGGAAAATACGGACGGAGATAGAAGGCGGGTTTCTCTCAATCGTAGGTTTGGTTCATACTTATGATTGAGCGGTTATGATCTGGCGCCACTTGTATACGATGCTGTACTCGTTTGAAACGATTCAAACGAAACTTGATATGAACAAGTGTAGAATACTCAAATCTTAACGCCGCGCCGCACAGTAGGACGTGTAAGGGAAAACTCGTGACATCGGCTAAATCTATTTTTTTTTTTAGAACTCCGAAAACTATATAAACTGTTTCATTGATACCATGTAGAGTTCGTGGAGTTCCCGAGAATATTTTCAGTTGACAGAATATTAATTTTTCACTGTTTTATTGTATAGTTCTATTGAAAATATATATATATATATATATATATATATATATATATATATATATATATATATATATATATATATATATATATATATATAATTGTGGATTAATGGTTGGCTGTCGTGAATAATGAAGAGAAGGATGGTTGGGGTGATCAGTCAGAAATAAGAAGGAATAATAAATAATAATATTTATTTTAACATTTGCCGACGTTTCGACCTGAAGTTCAGGCCTTCATCAGGGCTAAGAAAAGAACCAGATAACAAGGTATGAGAAACATAAATAATCTAGGTAAAAAAATTAAAGAAAAATGAAATGGGTAGAATAATGACAATAGTAAGAACTAAGAGATAAATAATAATAACCGTTACAAACTGTGGAATGATGAAGTAAACATAATCAAAAAAGGTGACATAAGCATTAAAATGGTAATCTTAGAATAAAATGTAAAACAGAAATATCTCAATATACATCTGTTAATATATTACAATACCTTTAAAATATCTCAATTTTCTATTTAACTATTCAATTTGCAATATCTTAATTTTACTATTTATTTTCACTTATTACATAAGTTCATATTCCTTTTTTTCTGTTTTACATTTTATTCTAAGATTACCATTTTAATACTTATGTCACCTTTTTTGATTATGTTTACTTCATCGTTCCACACTTTGTAACGGTTGTTATTATTTATCTCTTAGCTCTCACTATTGTCATTATTGAACCCACTTCATTTTACTTTAAATTTTTTACCTACATTATTTATGTTTCTCATACCTTGTTATCTGGTTCTTTTTTTAGCCCTGATGAAGGTCAAAACGTCAGCAAATGTTAAAATAAATGTTATTATTTATTTTGCGTTCTTATGTCTGACTGATCACCTCCTCTCCTTCCCCCAAAATAGATTTAGCCGATGTCGCGAGTTCTCCTTTATTCGTCCCACTGTGCACCGGCTCCTTGTCTACTTTGCACAATACAGCAAGATACCGAATAAGCCTGAAAAGGTACTTATAAACTATTTTATAATTCAGCATCTACACTATATGCGTCTACAAAACCAAATACTGCTGATAAATTGATTAATTTCGTTTTTTAACTATATTTTCTTGTCAATTGATAAACACAGAAGAATAGCCAATAAACTTACTTATTGTCTTAGATGCATTTAGTTTGGAAGTCAACGCAAAATAAGACGAGTAAATGGAGGCTCGTGGAATAATGGACTAAAATTAGAAATTTCTGTAATGACTCGATTTATCATGGATTTTAAATTTTTCATGTCCATATATTTTTAGAAATTAAACAATTACAAAAATTGTTCGACAAATGGGCTTCATAAAATGAAAGTAAGCTATTATCCAAATTTTATTCTCTGTAATTTCATATTCGACGACCTACTTCTAAAGTTGTTAACATTTCAACTACCTACTCTTTTTTATCAAGGGTAGTAACTTTTATTGAACTTTTTTAACATCTTAGCTGCTGAATATGAATTAACACGATAGCTGATGAGCACAGGCGGATCTACGGGCGGGGGGAGGGCTGCTTTCGGGCTGAAGTCCCCCCCTCTCTCCTCCAAAATGGTAAAATATAACCATGATTTACAAAAAAAAATATGATAAACTATCTATTAAAGTATTCTTGTCCGTGTAATTACATTTAATAGGACTTCAAGAACCACTTAAATACTATTTCATATAGGTAGTTAATTTTTTTCTTTTTTTTAAAATTAATTATCGTTGTATACATATTAAAAACAAAATCTTTCGGGCTGAAGCCCTCCCAAAATTAAATCCTGGATCCGCTAGTGCTGATGAGCATATCTTTTAAATGCCTTTCCCGACGAAATCGGTACCCGCCATACCGTAGGGAAATCATTTTTTATCAGTCTGGTACGGTATCGGTCCCCGGCGTCCGAAAACTTTTTATCAAATTTGATGATTATTTACGCTCTTCTCTTTACATCTATCCCACTCTCATTTAAATATTTTTAAAATTACCATTTTAGAGACTTCGTAACATTGACAAAATTCGAAAATATCCCGGCCGTTTGGTAGTGGAGAATAATATTGGACCACGGAGACCATAACCGCAGCTAAAGTTCCATTTTAACAGTTTCTGTCAAACATTTTGGGAAAAATGTTTTAAAAGTTCTAAGGAACTATTTTGTAATATATTTCTAGGTTTATGATAAACGTTCAACTTGTATTTATTCAAGTTATTGAAAAAAGTGCAGCTAAATGAATATTAAACAGCAATTGGATGTAAATCAGAGTTATAATTTGTCTTAAATAAATTAAATATAATTTAAATGTGTCATTTTTATTTTAATGTGTTGTTTGCTTAAGGAACTGTGAATAAAAATTTACTTACTTTTTTAGGAAAACGGAAAAACTTTTAAATAAAAGCTTTTAAAAGTAAAAATTCTATAAAACCTTTACTTGAAAAGTTTCTGAAGAAAAAGATCTAGTTCCAAAAGAACGTAAAAACTAACAAAAATAAAAATTCTGGTGATTCTAAAACTTTTTAAAAATTAGTTTTTTTTCTGTTTTTTTTTTTTAGTATTCATCTGTGTGTAAAAAAATATAATATTCGTTTTGGACTTGTTTATATTAATAGATCATGTTTATACAAACAGATTTTTTTTTATTTATATGCTTTGTTTGTTTTTTAATATGCAATTTATAGTTATAATTAAAACAAGTGTAATTTACATATGTTATTAAGAAAAAACATTATTTTTTATTAAACTGATATAATGTTCAATAAAAACATTCCCATTTATTAAACTGATAGATTGTTCAATAAAAATTTTCCCATTTATGAAACTGCTGTATTGTTTAATAAAAACATTTTTTTTTATTAAATCAATTTATCATTTAATAAAAACACATCTTTTTGTTTATCTGGCAGGTACATTGCTTAATTAAATACCAGCTTAGTTTAATAAAACCTTTAAGAAATCAACCAATGAAAAATATTAAAGGACTGGAATTCATACTTATATTTATATTGGTTAGACTATAAGGGGTTAATATCATATTCTTTAATGGTAAAAATAAATTAATGCACAACCTCCATGCATTATTTTCAGTTTAATAATCCTAAGTTGATTATAAAATGTGAGTGTTTTGAAAGAATTTGAGCTTAAAATTCTGGCAAATTAATGTGTAAAGTGTGTTTAATGAACCCTGAAATGGTACGTAAAGATGTTTTGGGCAGATGGCATGAAGGATTTTTAACATTCATGGCTGTAATTACTCAGTAAGATCTCCTGAATGTTTTGAAACAATTTCAGCACAAAATAATGGAAATCATTTTTATTATTATAGTTTAAGTTTCTTGATTATTAATTGATTTGAAATGATATCATGTGATCATATGTTATGAAAATAAATTGTTAATATTTAAATTCTAAAAATGTTAAAATAACAAAATATTTGAATTTAAAAAAAGACCAACTACACAAATGGGGAAATACTATCCACCCTAAGGGAGTGTACTTCCATATTTACTTAAACATCTTGGTAGATTGACAGGGAAATTGACATCTACTTATATTTAAACTTGGTTTAGTTATCAGTGATCACCAGCCCCGAACAAATCTCAAAACTCGAATGTTTACATGCACCACTACATGGGGAAAAATCTATTTGGCTGGAGATTGATTTGTTTGTTATCATGAAACAAATTTAATTTTCTGCAGCTGACTTCTAAAAATTGTGAAAATCCTAAAGTTTAAAGAACTATAAAATCTAAGCTATTAGAGTTAGAGGAGAAAAACAGTTGATATCATAATTTACATTATGGAATACAACCATAGTTAAATGTTAAATGTAATACAACCAATAAAACCATGCCATGGTTTTGTTGAACTGAAATGGAATGATACTTCTTTAAATTAGATTAAATTTTTATATTACTAGTCATCCTTGAATTGAATGAATTTACAAAGTCCATTTTATTCTAAGTAACTTCTTTTTTTTTTATGTACATTTTATAATTGCATTGGAAGAACATTTCTGACATGGTATAAATAAACATTCTTAGGGCCGCCTTCGCTTGTTGGCTGTTGAGCAACCTCCTTTTGCTAGTGGTACCGAGATATGGAGCGGGTGCTATGGCACTCACTGGGTGCCTCATGCTGGCCTCCACACTCACCTACCACTGCCTACTTCCGGGCAACCCGTTGCATGTCCGTTTTGAAGAGAGGCATTTAACATTTAAGTTCGGCTGGTGTTTCTGGCTTGTCGTATTCTCAGGTAAAAAATATGTAATATTTTTATTTTTCCTCCTTATCTTGTATCTATTACTACCTTATTTTATATCAATTTGGATAATTCATTTAAGAATTAGTACTTAATATCACATTACTGTTTTTAAATTCTGATACTCAAAAATCAGTTGCTAGTTGGACTGATTAAATTCTTAATTAACATTAATCCCAAATTCTTAGAAGAAAGTATGTATTTTATCATTCCTGTCACCTCACGAAATTTATAAATTAAATTAAATTGAGTGATCACAAGCACGTATAATGATCCTCGTATTAAAAACTATTTTAAATTTATTACAATTTATTTTCAGTTTATTTATTTTCAATGATATTTAAAAGTACGATGTAAAGTATAAAAATACTGTGGACATATAATATAATTCCTCCAAATAGCATCCAAGCATCCCATGTCATATATTATATCTACTTATTTACCAACAATTATTCAAGTGTGATATTATATTTTATTCAATTTATCTAGTGTACTCAATAAGCATTAGAGTGTTGCTTTATGTAAGCATTACTGTACTCTTCATAGGGACAATGCCATAACACTTAACAATAATTTAGTTAAAAAATATAATTTTATAATTCACAAAAGACCATTCTACTGCTGACAGCTCTATTTTCATCATAATCTTATAATTTAAATCTATTTGAACCATAGATTTACGTACGTACATACTGGCAGATCCTCATGTAAGGCTCTCAGGCTGATGCTCTTCCCCTCTCCAAAAATATAAAAAATTTTTTCATTCTTTCATATTTGTTTCTATGAGTCATCTGAGCTGAATACTTAAACAATCACAATAAGTTTTCTTTTTAAATTATAATTTATTTAAAATGTGTAAAAAAAAATTATAAAAAATATTTTACATTGATTATACTAGAGAACAGACAGACCTGAAAAGTGTAAGAACTCAACCAACTATATGATGACATATAAATGTGGTTTTGGATCAAATTTATGTTCTAGGTGCACTATGCTTACTCACTGGATTAGTGATTCTAGCCATAGACTTCATATATCCAAATAGGTTCAGCACTATTCTCGAAGTCGACTACGACACTCCGTATGACAGACATGTTATTATAGAGGAAAGTCACCACAAGAGGAGAGCAGGAAAAGGTTTGGAAGAACCCCCTGGTTTGGGTCGAAGAATATTAAGGTATTATATTATTTAAAAAAGATAAAAACATATTGATTTTTTTAAAACATTAGTTAGCAAGAATATAATCAGATTATTGTTGGTAATATGATTAATAAAACTGTTTAATTTTTTATTATGTGTACATGGTGTTTGAAAATTTTTCAGATGCTCTTTTATATTTATACCTTTCTGCAAGATTAGACAAGCAGCAAAGTAAAAGATATTACATTTTAGTACTAGATAATTACATCAATATCAATTATGATCATAATCATCACAGATAATCATTTTATTCCATTGATTTTTCAGAATTCTATCCAAAATATAGTATTCTGGACAAGATTTCGACTCTAGTTTTTATTCAAGATAATAACGAAATAAATAGTTTTCCTAAAACTGTTTCACCTCACAACACTGTTTATTTTAAAAACATATTTTATATGGTATTTTTTAAACTTTTTTATTCATATATAATAATACTTAAAAAAAGATAAATTGACCCAAAAGGAACATAAAAAAAAGGTGAAAATAAATATTATAAAACCAATAACAATAAACTTACAAAATAATATGCATATAAAATAAAGATACAAGAATAAATGGAAAACTGGAGGGAACTAATTGACCTAGTAAACCAAAATTTTAATCATTCCAACAATTAATAATTTTAATTTGCAGAAGAATTTTTCAATTGTATCCAATTTATAACAACAGTATAAATAAATTAACAATGTGTTTGTCATCATTCTTTTCTTCATATGAAATTTGCTCAATAATATAACATATATGTGTTATAGCATATATTTTTTTCTTTTTTAACACGCTAATGCATTCTTTTTTTAAATTAAATGTTTTCCATTTTTATTTCACTGATTATGTAAGGAAAATAATGTAATTATGCTATTATTTTCAAACTTATGAAGACCCATATCCAACCTAAAAATGAAAAACCTATACAATTCTGTTAAGCATGTGCTAACAGTTGTTAGTCCTCCACTGATCAACTAATTAATGTGTTTCCAAACAGACAGCCATGCACTTGACTCCTGATACAACATTTTAAGTTAGATTAAACAACTTTAGCATTTTATCAAGCTAATGCATTCTTTTTTTAAATTAAATGTTTTCCATTTTTATTTCACTGATTATAAAATATAATTAAGAAACAATATTTTAAACCATAAAAGGACAGAAATATTTAATATAATATAAACATTATCCTATTTTTATTTATTTTTTATTAAATAATATAAAAAATCATACTATACCATTATTAATTGAAATTATGTAGCCAGTTTATCAAAATCTAAAGTATTCACTTTACTTATTTTTATGGGAAAAATACATAACCAATATGTTGTTCATGACAATAATAGTGTATATATTACACCTTGTTACCATCCTTCAATCCTACCTGAAAAAGCAATCTGAGATGTCATATTAAAAGAACACGTCTACCAGCAAAACACTTAATTAGACCTTTGAAAATGTTAATTTGCCCAGAAAGTTTTGATCCATATGAAAAAATTAAAAATGTATTTAATTTATCTGGAACTATAATGTATTTTGATTTATTATTTTATAAGTTATTTTTGTTATACTTTTAATGAAACATTAAAAATTATTCATTTTATTGTGATCCCATTTCATTTCATTTATTATCTAGGAGATTATCATCTAAAAAAGAAGAAACTGAGGGAAGAGCGAATGCTGGTTTTGAAATGGATGTACCAAAATCACCTTGGAACTATCCACTGCACAGGCCAGCAATGCCATTCAGACGTCAGGATTCGGCATCCAGTGCTGCTTCCAGTATAGAACCTCCACCACAGTTGGGCCGACAGCCATTCCAGAGGTGCACTTCAAATCTTTAGGTGGTGGCATCAGCATGAGTTTTTAAGCATGCACCCTTCCCATCCTGCCATTAGTTAGTAGTTACTAAAATTACTATATTCGTAGTATAGATTAAACTCTTTAGTTTTACTAACACATATATGAGTGCAAATTTACTGAATGTTTTTCATTGATTTAGTGAATCATCATCTAATAACCGAAATTTATGTAACTGGATTTTGTAATTTAGGTAGTTTCAATTAATTTTAGAAATATTATTCTCCCGGTGGAAACAATAAATTTGTAAACCGTAGTCCTAATTTAAACATCATCAATGTTATATATGTCATTCAAAATATTTATAGTTTTTAAAATTAAATAGATAGGTTTCGATAGCAAGACTACACTGTGTTATATATGATTCTAATACCTAATAAGTCAAAATGGATTCAAGCTAATGCTGAGCTAGGTATAACATTTATGTTTTTTATGCAGATCACTATTAATGTAAAATGATATTCATTGTTTTAAGTGATCAAAATATTCCAAATCCTAATATGTATGTTTTCATGAAAATAACTTAAGCAATTTTAGATAACTAATAGTGAAAAATTTCACTTGAGATGAATCTCAATTTATTCTATAACAAACCTCAACATAATTAATATGGTATTAAATCTTAATAAACAACGGAGTTTTTCTTAAAGTGTGGTATATGGCAAAATTTAGCAACATAAATGACAAATTTTTTCTAGTCTGCTTTGAAACAGTTCTTAATTACCTAAATCAAATATTTGTTGCGTTTATCACTTATTTTCAACAAAAAAAGCTTACTTAAAAAAATACCAAGTTTCGTTTAAAAATTATAAATTTCTTACTTTTCAGTGTTAAACCAGACTACAGTTTATATGAACTTTATAGTAGCTCTTGAGATCTGTTATCACCTTTTTAATTATTTCAGACACCCAGTATATTATTTATTTATTAATAAACCTTCCTCTAAATATTACCTTGTAACTTGCAAGATTTATTTAATTTCCATGACAGACATATTTTTTGTCTATAATGTTTTTCCCTTTGATTTAACATAAACAAATAATACTGGAGGATATTGTTTAATATTTTCTATAAATTCATCTTAGATATTGACAGTTGATAGCTTGACGATACCTGGGCTTTTTGATTTGTAGCTGATGCCTCACTGCCTAAGGAAAGGCAAATAGCGACATGGCGTGACATTGCTATGTGCACAGCCCTTGTTTGTAGGGGTTTTAAGGCATAAAACATCAGAGTCATCAATGCCTGCAGCACACTCCTTTCTAAACAACAATTTAGTTTATTACTCAAATAACTTATGAGGTTTCAATAAGTTATGCCTGTTCAACATTAATACTAATAAATAATACAGTAGAACTCCACTTATTTAAACCCACCATATCTGAAATCAATGTTTTTCAAAATATTTGTTTCCATTTAATATTTTTAGAACAGTATGCAGATGCTAACCATGCCAACAACATTATTTTGCATGTTACTATAATAAAGTTCATTAGAACAATATTCATAGTGATACAGGAATAATATTGTATTAGCATTGTTTCCAAACAATTATAACACTTTAACGTTGACATATTGGGAAATATATTCCAGAACACCAGGACTTGAATGAATTATAAATAACTGATCTCATATAATAAAATTATGATGGTGGGGAAAATATTTTCCAAAATGTCAATATAAAAGTTCCATAGTGAAGAAATAAAAAATTTAAAAGAAGCTAAAATGTCAAATGGACTTATTGAAAATAGAACAAAAAAAGTCATTATAATCATCTAAACAATTATTCCAAATAAATAGATTATGCTTAGTATTTATTTTGTTTTATTTATTGGATTTGATATTTTACTTTCTTTGGCTGTTCAAGTTATTCGTAGCAATCACAAAAGCAAATTCTTCTTCTTAATGTTTTTAATTTAGAAAATCATGAGTGAACTGGGAGCTCCCGGTAAGTTGGTGAGATTGACATAGGCAGGTACAAATAACCCCATACGTAGAGTCCTAATAATAATAAAGAGAGAAGTATCTGAAGCCTTCAATTCATGCCTGTTCATATTCAATTCATAGCCTTCAAGCATGTTCAAGCCTTGAACAGGCTTACGGTAGGGAGATGAACTATCACCGATGTTGTTCAACTTAGCCCTGAAGTAGATAATAAGAACAACATCACAGGAAAATGGAGGGGTCGGCATCAGAATGAATCATAAAATCATTGAATATACTAATGATATAGCTGTCTTTGGAAGTAGTCAAGAGGACCCTGAGAAACTCGCCAAGTAAATTAAGACAAAACAAAATATATGATAAGCCGAAAATTCCACTGCAATAACAGGATCTGTGTTGGAGGAAAATCATTCCCGATAGTAAAAAAATTCAAATACCTTGACTCCACAATAACCTCAATGAATGACCAATGGGCAAAAATAAACCAGCGTATAACTAGCGCAATCAGAGCTTTCTTCTCTCTTTCAAAGGTATTGAAATCACAAGAAATCTCAAATTAATGGTATACAGTGCTATGAAAAAGACAGTTCTAACATATGGCTGTAAGACCTGGACACTAACCAGCACCCTGGAAAAAGTGTTGAAACATTTGAGAGAAGAATCTCCCACACGATAACCGGAACAATATACGGGATAATCTAAGGGATCAGAATACTAACATATGGAGAAGAAAGACCAATAAACAACTTCTTACAGAAAATGGTCAATCGATTCCCCATGATATGAAGCCACAGAGGTTAAGATGGGCGGTGCATGTAGCTCGTAGCAATCCATCTGGAAGCCTCTACGTAATAATAAATATCTCAATAGAAGGCAAAAAACTGCATGGAAGGTCAAGAAGCAAGTGAATAGATAGAATTTAAAAAAATATAACAGAGCTGCATGCAGATAAATGGAAAGAAATAGCCCAAGACAGGCAGACATGAAGCAGACTTGTTAAGACAGCAAAAGATCTACATGGTCTTTAATGCCAACATGTTCTTTAATACCAGAAAGAAAAAAAAAATGTTCAAATATATTCAAACATTTTTTTTTTCTCTGCAAATCTTAATCCATGAATTTGTTAAGAAGCAGATGTGCTGTGGTGAATTTGGAAAATGACATCATAGGTATGAGGAAGAATAGTACCCAGCAGCACCTCTTCCTAGTCTTTATTTGCCTCTTTAATCCAGGAGAGGAGGTCTCTCATCCAGCTCATTTTCAGTGGCCTTCTGATGAGCATGTCAGTTTTGGCCATCATTGACAAGACTATGTGTCTATATAGATTAATATGAAATTAGGAATAAAGAGTACGTAGGTACTGATCAATAATTGGTTGTAATAAGTTGCTATGTGAAGTCTTGTTGTTTATGTAGTAGGAAGATGCTGTTATTAGCCTTAAAATTTTGTGTTGAAAATATTGTAGTTTTCTTAAGTACATATTTTTTGTTAAACTGTAAATGGATTTGAGTAAGTACGTGCATATATATTTAGGTTTTATCCAATTTTCAATTTTGATTTAGAAAAAATTAAGTATGGTATTTTCAATAACTTATTCAGCCTTTCTTTTCATTTTGATGCATTGACCTCAGGTCATCCTTCTGTTCACACATTACATTGAATGTACCAATTACAGGGTTACTGACTATATTGCTGAAGCACTATAGAAAAAATACATTGACAGGCAAAACATTCCACCCACTTGTTACCCATTAAGGAACCACATTGGAAAGGTTGGCTTTGGGAAAAATTACAGGCTGCATATCTTTCGTTTCTTCTTCTCCACACCCTTTCACGCCATGCCCGTCTGGAGATCGAAGAACGAATCTTGACTCATCTGTAAAAAGTACAGCACTCCATTCGTCCATAGTCCAATGGCTGTATTCTCGAGCAAAAGCAATCCGTGTTACTCTGTGAGTTCTGGTCAACTCTGGTCCTCTTACTGGACAAAAAGCCATTAATCCATACTCATTTAATCTTCTCCGAGCGGTACGTACAGAAATTTGCACACCTTGAACTTCTTCGAGCTGATGAATAGCTTGAACAACGGTTTCGTAAAATTCTCAAAGTCAAAAACCGGTCATCCCGTGGTTCTGTTACCCTAGGCCGTCCAGAACCGGACCTACTATTGTAAGAACCAGCTTCCCGAAAACGCCTGACAGTGTCTCGTAAGGTTTCATATGGAACTCCAATGGCATTAGCTGCATATCTAATGGAACGTCCATCATCAATAAGTGCCACACCACGTGCAACATCCTCAGCACTAAGAAATATTTTAAAACTTAATATTGAAAAAATTAAAAGCCGGAGACTAAGAAATGTGCTGCAAGAAATAGCACTGAACTAATGATACTGAATAAACATTTTGATTCCATAGAAAGTAAACATTGGAATCTAGAATCATTTCATTGAATTAAGGATTAAGGGTTATTGTCCTCTATATTAACATTCCTAATTGAAAACAAACAAAAAGACTACCTATTTATTCATTAAAAACAATAGACCAATCCAAAGCATAAATATTTTTAGATGAAAAAATCAAGTGGGTGGAATTTTTTGCCTGTCAGTGTATATACAACCGGCATGTTGGATATTGATTTTGAAGGCATTTGATAAAGTCTGGCACCAAGGACTTCTCTTTAAACTCAAAACTCTAGTCTTTCAGATGTACTATCTCATTATAGAATCTTCCCTTTTTGAGATACTTTTCTTTGTCCGACAGAGCTTAGAGATTTCCTTAATTCAACCAATTTTGGCTGGAGTATCTCAAAGATCACTGGCTTCTTTACTGTATGTTATATATGCACATGATATACCTTGCAACTCCAAAGCATTGACTTTTACCTATGCTGACAATTCAGCAATTTTAATAAAACACCATAACCCCAGATGCTTGTCTAGACTACTCACTGAATTTACAAAATTCGTACTCGCTTTGGAAAATTAGATTAAATAATCTAAGCTGACCGTCAGTTTATATTATTTACAGTTTTTTCAAGTAAATTTTAATTAAATTTAAATCCAAAATAACAGTTTTGGAAAAGTTAAATTTATAAATTGAATACTTGATGTTGAAGTTGATAATTTTCAATGATAGATTGAAGTTCAAGTTTGTTTTGAAAATATTACATAAAAACATTCTTTTAATTTTTCTTAAGAAATAATATACCAAATATTAAAATAGACTTTAAAAAATGTCACTGAGGAAATTTAAAAAAAAAAATTAATTTCCTCAGGCTTCAGATATATAGAATAGATGCTGTTTTTGTTCTCCTTGATAGGTAATGCAATACATATTTTTAAGATTCAAAAACTCTTATTTTTCGCTATCTCAATGTATTGTCTGTTTCAGTTTTCGACAACCAATTGCTGTCGAACTACAAGGTAAAGGCTGGTGATTTTATCTCAACTAAAGAGATGCTGTAAAACAATTCTTGAACAGATAAATTCCCTTAAACAAGTCTTTATGTTAAAATATTTTCTTTGTATATAAATTGTAAATTTTTATTAAGGGGATTGTACCTGATTTTGATTAAAAATGTCTTCTCTTAATTTTTAAAATGTTTTTATATTTATGCCATTGATTATTTATAAAATTCTTGACTTATTTTAATCAAAATCTTATAATTAATGGAGGCAAATTGAATATTAGAAAATTTGCTCAAGAAATGTGTATAAGAAGGAGCTTGTAAAATAAATTAATAAACTAGTAAATTATTACAATAATTTTGAGACGTATTATTAGTGTAATTCTTGTAATTATTTATATTGTGTTTTTTAACTGTGCGTATTTGATACCCACAAAATGTGATTATGTAATTCCTCAGATTAGTTTTTAATGGTTTTAATATAGTTTTGTATCATAATTTTTCTATCTCATATTATACTAATTATCACTTTATTATAGTGTGTAACTGACATTCAACTGGTATGTTAATTGTTAAGTTATAAACAGTCAGTTCTGAAAATGTATATGTTTTTTACAATTTTAGGCCAATGTGAAAATAAATTTATTCATATGCTATTGTATATTATTGGCTCTTTATTTTTAATTTTATTTCCATGACAGTTGTTAGTACGTATAAATGAGTAAACAAATATTTTGGTTAGAGAAACTACATAAATATAAAATTTTAAGAATTGTGATATATATATTTTGTTATTTAGTTAATTTATGGAACAATGATCTAAGGCACATTTTATGTTTATTTGACAAAGAGGAAAAATAATATTGCATATCTGGCTAATATTTATATTATTTTTGTGAATGCCGGTAAGAAGATATTTGGAGAACTGAGTGTATCGTAATTAACAGAAGCCATAACAAATCTTGTTTCATCAATAAGCAAATATTGATCAAAATGTATTTTAGACCATTATATGCAGTTATAATATAATAATATTTGTCATTTTCAAAGAAATTTGTTATTTTAACAGTTTGTGTAACTGAAGAATTATCATTATTGTTTATATAATTAAAGTCTTTTTTAAGATAGAAGCAAATATAATTTGATAAATATTTACTTAAAGTCTTTTACAGTTATTTCATATTTACATTTTTTTTTTTTTAATCAACAGAGGTGATGTAAGAAAATTACAATTAAAAAATTTAAAATATTCATTTATTCCTCATTCCCTTATTCTATTTAAATGTATAATTACCTAATTACTTTTTAGATTCCTTAGAACAAGATTGTTTTTGCTCTTTAAAGATTTATTTTAATTAGAAATAAATAATAGGAGATTCCAGACTATTTTCATGATTTCTAAAACAAAAATCAATGTGTTTTATTTTGTTATATGAAAAGTTTATTGCATTTTTGTTATAGTGCTAATTACTCAAATTCATGAAAAAAATAAAAATGTAACAGTTGACTCACAAGGCATAAGAACACAATCCAGTAAAGTAATATATACATACCTATTCTATAGAGATTTTTCAACCAGCTTACATCAACCTCTGACATTTGTTTATATTTATTGATTTAATATTTTAATTAATACAATTATTCAATTTGTACAAACATGTACGTTTAAAATATCCTTAAACTATTGTGATTAAGAGATTTGTAGATAATAACCCAAAATAATAAAAAATACGAGGAATGTCAATATATTTCTGTTTCTACTATTGATCATTTCACCATTAAAAATGGTTTAATACACATAAACACACATGGGAGTGTGTATTAAACTCTGTACATACAACAATCAATAAAAAAAAAAAAAAAATAGTGCTCGCAATCAGGATTCCCCTTTCACTGATTCTAATTCTTTTTTTTTTTTCTTTTTCTCCCATACTTTACCTTTTCGGCTACATATACAGCAGTTTCCCTGGGCCAGGGGAAAGGGCAGAGAATTGATGCCAGAGTAAATCGCATAAACTCATAATCTTCAGTTAATCAGATTGCCAGGCCACATTTTGTACACTTCCTATCTCGTTTGGCCACCCCGCCTTGCTTCACTTTGGATCTCTTCTCAAGTAATATATTTGAGATGTTTTTTTTTTTTAATTGTATGTTGACAGACTTTTCTCTGTCCGACAGGGCTTAGAAATTTCCTCAATTCGACCAGTGTCGTCAGAGGTACATCAGGGATAAATATTAGCTCCTTTACTCTACATTATATATATGTATGACATGCCTACCACCTCCAAAACATTGACTGCTACTTACGCTGATGATACAACAATTTTAACAAAAAATCATGACCCCAGACTAGTCTCACTGAATTTACAAAATCATTTACTGACTTTACAAAATTGGTGCTCAACATATAACATTTATACTTCGACGAGAAACATGCCCACTAGTTTATATAGGAGAGAACCAAATTCCTCAGACAAACACAGTACAGTGCTGCTGGGGAGTATTTTTTTCCTCATGCCTAAATTGTCAATTTTTGTCAATTAGTTACAGAACATCTGCTTATTATCAAGCTCATGACGGTTGTGGATGGAAATATGAAGACAAAAAAAAAATTACAAAAAAAAAAGCATTCATTCTATCCATTAACTTATTATATATATTGCAAGTAGTAATATTTTATTAGAAATGTTGAGAATTTACATATTTTTTTAAATTATTATAATATATAAAGATGCACCAACAATTAAGTGTATAATTAATATTAAAACATGAAAAAATATAAAGATTTTTTTAACTCAAACTATAGTTCATAATTTTTTCCTTTATTTACTTTTTTTTATAATGGACCTCAAAAATGTGAGTGTTTATATATTCATGTAAATATATCAAGATGGTAGATATTTTACAGCCTCTAAATGCTAATATTTAATATTGCAATTTTTAAGATCCTGTAAACCTTTAATTTGATTTAGACTTTAATTTACACTGAGCTAGTTGAACCACTGGATCCAGGTTCTATAAATTTTTTGTAGGGGAAAAAATAAAACATAAATGATGGAAAAAATAAAATACACGAATATACACAGAAAGAGAGAAACAAGCACTCACAATACATATTCTGGAACATTCTGAATTTACACTATAGAATCATACTTCCAAATTTATTTAAAAAATGTTATTACAATATTAAAAAATGTCTTTATTTAATATTTAAATCATCATAAAATCAATGAAACAACAGATTGTAATAGCATGATAATTATTTGGAAACATTATTAAAGTTAAAAAATTGAAGAAGACATGGTTTTTATACAGCAAATGCACTGAGATAGATTTTAAGTGTATTCTGAAACCATTTTATCTAATCCCCATTATCTTGAGAATTACAATTATCCTGAAGTACCTGAAAGTTACCAGTATCCTCACAGAGAGCCTCTAAGTAAGAGTGTCCTCTCTTATATTAGAATTTTGATCAGTGATTTTATATTTCCATCAGAGGGAAAAAAGAAAAAGCTTGTGTTCCATAATTATCGTCTTATTTTTCCTCCTCCTCCTTTGTGTTGTATGGTGTGAAACTTTCCTGCAAAAAAAGAAGTGTGCCATAGTAGTCAGTCAGTTGCAGTCAGTCCCCCTTGTTGACAACACTTGCTTAGCTCCTGACATTGAATACACTCTCAAGTTTTCTGCCAAAAAGGGAAGAAATTAAAAGATTCATCTATAATAACAACCAAAAATGTTTGGTTATTCGTTTTCTAAAGTGAGTTTTTATTTTATTTTTTATAATTAATATGTACTCAAAAATTTGATGCAAATAACATTTCTTGAAAAAACTGTACTTCAAGTTACATTCTTGGAAGATAAGAGTCAATATCTTGTGCTTTCTGATCAGTAATAAGGAAATTATTTGAGTGCTTATTTAGTTGTTTACTTTTATTTTTAATAGATTACATAATTAATGAAAGACTTTTAACTATCTGTACAAACAAATTAGTTTGTTATTTATAATAAAAATATTTTTTCATTACAAAAAATCAGTCTGGAATAAGTGTTCCTGTCATATGTAAATTTTTGTTTTTGATAATTAAACCTGAATCAATTTCAATTTGTTGATGGTTAAAGGCAGCTCGATTTATTACTAACAATTGACCTTAGCAGAAAGACACATACTACAATAACACAGTCATGAATAGAATCTTTCTAAAAAATGTGTATGAAAATATTGATAAGTTTTTATTTGAGAATCAGTATCATAGTATTTTTTAAATTAAATAGAACAACTCATTTTTTCTACATTTTGTTATGATTAAGCACTATAATTTTTGTTTTGAAAATTACTTTTATAAAAGGAGTCTGTATTTCATTATAGATCTTTATTTGATCCTTGATAAAGCTCATTATATTGAGAACATTTTCTTTGATTTGCTTATTTATAATAATTTTTTTTAATTCCTGCATCTTAATAGTGTATTCACTGTTTTGTTTATTTTATCTATTTCAGTTTCAAATATATAATATTAGATGAATAACTCTGAAAATTAACTTATAACATTTGTTTTCATAATAAATATTTACTAGTGTCTTAAAATCCAAAGCAATAAAAAACAAACAATTATTTATCAATCAAAACGAAATTTTATTTCAAAATATCTTTTTTGATAAATAACAAATAAGTACTGCTTGATCAGAAGTCGTAATAATGATTGATTTATAATGATAATGATTTCAATTAATCTATTGATCACTACTAAATGGATCCGTTCAAAAAAAAAAAAAAAAATGATAATGGTAGATTTATCTTTGCATTTATGACTGGAGGAATCTAATTAGGTAATTAATGCTATTAATCTTGGGGTAGTTAAAACTTCTTATGGGCATATTATCTTTTAAAAAAGTATTTTGTTTTTCCACTCTCTTAGCGTTGCCCTTCCAATCTTTCAAATGAAATTTTTATTTCCTTTTAAATATTTGTTGCTTAATGTTTCTTAGAAAAAGAACTAAATTATGGAAATTATTTATTTTATTGCATTCATAAAAATAATTTTTACTAAATATAGCTATTGCCAACTAGAGTATTTAAGTAAGAAAACTAGAATATTTAATAAGATAATATTAGTTGTAAAATTTCATATCAATAAAAATAAAATATACTGTTAAATATTTTCTTCAATGATATTTCAAATCATACTTTTGATAAAATTGCTAAATGATAAGTTTTGTTTATTTTTTGGATAATTTAGTGTGACACCTGGCTGTCGAGTGTGATCTTAAATAAAAGACCTTTTTGTATTATTGTTGGCCTTGAAACAGTACTTTGTGGGTTTTTGTGGTAGAGAATATCTTTTCGTGTTAATTACTAATATTGCATTCACTAGGATTATTAAGGAAGGAGTATACATCCCTGCAGGGGTGCCCATCCTCCCTAAGGTCAATTTTATTTTTCTTCTCTTAAGTGCAAGCTAAAGTAACATTTTTAAAATCATAGGTCATACATAATTACACTGGCAGTCGTCTGTGCTATGATTTTCTCTTGTCCTCTGGTTGCAACTGTTCAATCCGAAAATTCATAACCCCTGTCGAAATGTGCCTCCCTTAAAAATTCAAAACCCCGTCAGTGCCCCCTCAAAAATTTTGATGGCACAACTTGCGCCATGAAACACCCTTGTGGGCACCACTGCATCCCTGTTTGTCCACTTTTTCCACATTGATTCATTACAATCTGGGCTGTTGGTGGGTCTAAATACATTTCACTCATATGTCAGGAGATTCATTTTATGAGGCTTTGAGAAGTCTGATTAATATGCACAGTGCAGAGTGCAGTAAGTACTATTCTGTTCAATGTCTTATAATATTTTTTTTCTTTAGCTGTTCATGGACCTATTTTCCTGATTCCAATGCAATCCAAAATAATACCAATTATGGTGAATGCACCAGTTGTGGACAGGGGGTTCTGTGATGGATAGATTAGACTTTAAATGTAAATGATAAGCTTCCTATTAATTTAAAGGTTCCATCTTTTTCTAGATTTAAGAACAACGCAATATATTGATAAATGTATGAACAAAGTTCCCAAAGGAAATTTTTAAAATGCCTATCATTGTTCTTTCTATAGTGCTCTTGAGATCAATGTATTTCTTACCTTCCTACTAAATTTTTTGCTAAGAGTAGCTTGAACATTTATGTTATCTTATCTTTATCATTATATTTATAGTTAAATAAAGACTTTAGAATTTTTCTGAGGTATGTACCCCTGTCCATTACTAGAACAATTGAAATTCGGGGTGTCCATCACCAGTGCAAAATGGTGTTTTTTTAGATGGAGATTACGACTGCATAACTGAATACTTTTTTAAAATTTTAAAGTATTAAATAAAAACTATAGAAACTCTAAATGTACAACGGAGAAGTTTATAACTATAATAATTACGGGCCATAAACCAAAAAAGACAAAAGTTTCCTTACATATATCCAGCGCTGGTGCCCTTACCCTAGCTGATAATTGTTTCCTTTTCTGAGCCTAAACGTCTTTCTTCCATTAATTCGTATTCGTTATTCCACTCTCTGTCCACATTCTGATTAATTTTAACTAATGAGATCGTGGATCTCCATTTCGACTAACATTAGAAAATAGCCTGAAGCCATATTAGCCCAGCGGAAAGTTCTGTCATCGTAAAATTTTTTTAGTTTATTCTAAATTTGATTTAAGAAAGTCTGGTTAACTGCGTGTACCAGGTAATATGGATAAATGTTGTAATGGATTAGAATGCTTTTAACTAATAAATTTTACCGATAATACAGAAGTTAACAAGCCTAGTCTTTCAGGGGCTGGGTGGCAGAGAGGTCAAAGC